TGAATCGGTTGATTAACACCTATAATAGACATGAATTTATAATTTAAATACTTTTTTAACATGTAATATAATTTATAATAAGCCTTTTACCTTAACTATTTAGGTTCGAACCACGTGACTCTAATAAAATCACCTAGAAAAGCACTTAATTTCAATTGAGACACAAATGATCCCTGATACCATTATTCTAATTTCAGAAAAATGTTTATGCAATTACTGCAAAAAATTTATCTGTATTTACTCCCAAAACAACATCGTTTTGATGTTGAAATATTAAAAAATTTAATTATAAACACTACTATAACCCTGAAATAAATTAAAATTACAAAAATACCTTAATTTTCGCCCCAAAACGACGACGTTTTGGGCTCGAACAGATAACTTATCTGCATTAACTGCAGAAAAACGAACCCTTCTTATTTATTCTTTAACCAAAAACAAGTGAGCTGTGATTTTATCTTCTCAGTGATTTAATTAAGGTTAACATGTAATACCTCGTAGTACTCCGGTTGTTAACATACATGATATTTAGTATACAAAGCGGAAGACTTGTCTTAAAGGAATAATAAAGCGTCTTATAAAAATACGAGTAAACTTTTTTCCAAAATATATTTTAAAACATCTTCAAAGCATTCATCTGATATATTGCATTCGCGTAACATTAACATCTAAGTCTACTAATTAAAACCATTGGGCATGACTAGTGGCCGTTGACCGTCCGGATATGACCTCAAGGGTGTGTTTGGTACAAGATAAATTTTTTGGTGACCGGGAATCATGATTAATGGGAATTCAGTAGAAATTGAGTTTACTTGGAATCTTACGAAAGATGTGTTTGGTTCGCCAAAATATTACCGGGAATATTGGGTAAAAATTACTGATTCCATATTTGGTTTAGAACGAAATATGACTTGAAATATGAGGTTATTTTACAAAAATAATCCCAAACTATTTTTACTTTTATAATTGATAGATTGTGTCTAGATTTTTATGTGTATTGGGGTATTTTTGTCTCAAAATTTATTGTTGTGCTTTCCCTTTACTTGGTATTCTGATTGGTATTCCGAATTACCATATTATTTTTGGTAATCTGAATAGTGACTTTTCTTTATAAATCAAATTACCGGTAATCCTTGGATATCCGGGAATCGTAATTTATTCCTTCTACCAAACGTGGTAATTACATTTACCAAAGAAGGATTACCGGTAATCCTCTCCAAAAACTTGAACCAAACACCCCCCAAGTGTCATTCTTGACGGAGTCTCACGGACAGCATAACGGCTGTATTTTGGATAACTGGGGACTTGGGTCCCACACATACACAACCTGATAGATACCATAATTAAACAGACATCTTGCAAGTCCCACACGGACTGCAATCCCCTCAATGGGTCAATACAAACAATATGGCTCAATGTTCAATTAACTGAATACATACATCAAGTCTACATAAATTTCCAAACGTCTAAGCATCAGTAAATAATCTATGGCTCCAATCATAGAGTCATGAGCCTAAATAAATACATCATATAATCTCAACATAAGATAAATAAGCATGTTAATAAATATACATGCCATCATAGAGTCTAAACATAATAAAAGATAAATCAGCAGCGTCATCCACTACTCCAAGGCGATGACCTTGCCCCTAGAAGCAACACCACTACTCTGGGTACCTGAAATGATGTCCCCAAATGGGGTGAGATAACACATCTCAGTAAGCTCAAGGTTCATAGAGGATCCTCTAATCCCCTGAGTCCACTTCCAGCATGACAAGTCAGATATAAAGTATATAATACAGGCATACATCATAAACATAGCATCATCATATCATCATTGTGTAACCCCAGGGTCAAAGCCATAGACGGTTACACATGTGTGACTCTAGGGTCAAGCCATAGACAGTCAACATAACCTCTGTATGAAATAGCTCCCAGAGTCAAGTCATAGGCAGCCTACATATTATGATCACTAGCCAGAATTCTCATAACATATATCATCAGCGCATCATCATAACATCAAGAATCATATAACATCTACATGAATGTGAGTGAATGCACATATACGTCATACCATATACTTTCATACAATACAACCATAATGCCCACCATCATGGTGGGGCCACAAGAGAGAGGATGCAACTAGAATTAGGAGCTTACCTCACTGAGCTTATCACAAGCCTAACTCCAACAATAAAATACGTATGCTCCAATAAACCCTCAAGTGCCAAATCTTCTAGGAAAACCTAGAGCAGGAATTATTTACATCATTAATACTAATCACTTAGTGATTCCACATTTCATTCTTACATGCCAATAATATGCCCATTACAAGTCTAGGCCAATTATTACATAATTACGTATTTTAGTGTATTATGAAGTGTTCACTTATTACACAATCAACCACGTAGTTTAAGCACCTTGCATAATCTTAGAATCACACTCTAGGATTACTAAGGTAACTTAGATTATTTTCATTCATCCAAGCCATATATATACTTATTATAAGTTACTAAGGGATTTCCATAAGCCCACTTAGCCTAAATATAACTTTTACGGCTTTCCTATAACTGTACATACTTCTGTTTTCTAGTCACTGTGTGAAACCCACTTATTATAAAATTATCATCTTTTAGTATATTAATCTAAACTCAATTATATTTTCAAAAAGATATCACATGCCTCATTTGGAGTTTTCTAGCTCCGGTTATCACCATTTGAAGTTTGACACACAAAGCTGTCTGCCAACTCCGAACAAAGCCTTAAACATCCCTTACCATTTATTCGACTATGGAAAATATACTAAACCAATTGCTCTCAAATTTTTATACAGAAAACTAGAAACCTTAGGCTTTAATTATACATATTATGAGCCTAATTTGAGTAAGAACTGAGGGAGGAACAATTCGTGAAAGTTGTAGCCATGTACAACCCCTCCACATGGCCTCCCAAGGCAGTCTCCACTCAATAGAACCTATAGAATGATATACATCTTCAAATGATACCAAATTTTGACAACACATAGCTAACATTTCAAGCTTAAAAAATGATATAAGGTACATCCCTATAGGACTTTTGTGGAGGGAGATATTGTCTCCCCAAGTTAGCCTAAAAAACTGGTCATTTAATCTTAAGTGGGTTTAATTATCAAACCTTAATTACCTATGGTTAGCAACTCTAATCTAATATCATTTATTTATTTTTATTCTGAATCATGTTTTGGTCTAGTTTTAGAAGATTTCACGTGAAAAGGTTTTATTGAAACCTAGATCAATTTTAGTTTTAGACTTAATTTACAATCTCATTCACAAAGATCAATTTTTGAAAAAGACATTCCACAATAAACGAAATCAATAGGGGAAGCATCATTTTCCATAGATATGGCATGTGCACAGTGGGAGTAGTAATTAATATGGCCTCGAGTAATGTCATTTATTATCATTTTAAAAAGGGATTAGTGCTTCTTATTATTTTGGAGATAATTTTTCTTTTATATATATATAAAATAAGTGAATTTTTTTTTCTCTTTTCTTTTTATATGGTCACTAGGAGTGTGCAAAATAACCAAAAAATTAAACTGAACCATGAACCGAACCGAATCGCCCCTTAAAATAATCAGTTTTTAAAAATCAGTTCATAAACCAAACCGGTTTTAAAGAACCAGTTCCTGAACCGAGCCGGTTTTTAGAACCAATTTAAGAACCGAACCGATTTTTAAAATCAGATTAAGAACCGAACCGTTTTCAAACCGAACCAAATTAATTTTTATAACTTTATTTTTTAAATTTTTAATTTTTTTTCTTTTCAAAAGAGAGTCGACCCGAACAGGTTATGAACCGAACCGTTTCTAACTGAACCGAACCAGTTTTGAACCGAACCATTTAAACCAATTCGGTTTGATTTTTCAAAAAAACCGGTTCGGTTCGACCCATGCATATTCCTAATAGTCACATATAGATCTCACACACTTATATATATATATATATATATATATATATACGGGAACGGTTATACTTACCACCAGGTAAGTTTACCACCCTTACCACCAATCTTATTACCGTTAGATTAAAATTAAATCTAACGGTTGATAATTATCACTTATAATTCTAATTTCTACTCTCTTTATCTTTTTCTAGATTTGGAATCTGCACGATTTGGGATCTGTAGAGTTCTCTCTCTCTCTTCAAATGCTTTGAAGATGAGTTCCCATTTGTTATATGTTTATCGAATGAATAAAGTAATAGAAGAATTCCCATCTAGCGTACATATAGCAATTTGTCGTATATATGTTTACCGAATAAAAGTGGATACAAATTTTTTACGAATTTCACATCGGAAAACACAAATTCAAACCGTGCGTGATGTACGTTGTTCAAAGACAATTGAAAGAATTGCGATTTCATATTACTCAGAAACTCGGTAATCAGTAATATGAAAGCATATTGTTTCAAAAAGAATTGCGAATTCATAAATTTATTCAGTGACAATGAAAAGAATTAACTTATGTGTCCAATTATTTGTCTTGGTAAGATATTTTTGATGGAATTGAAGATCAAAAAATTATAACAATAAAGAGACGATGAGAGAATTGATTTCCTAATCTAAGAGAGAAAAAGAGGTACGCAGATTCCAAACCTAGAGAGAGGATGAGAGAGTAAAATTAAGATTATAAGAGATAATTATAAACGGTTAGATTTAATTTTAATCTAATGATGCTAAGATTAGTGATAAGGGTGGTAAATTTAAGTGATGGTAAGTATAACCATCTCCTGTTTTTTGATATAAAGAATGAGTTTTATAAGAGTTATGTTGTAGGAAAAGTGATTGTGTTATGTTATAGAGATTCGTTTTGCGTGCCGAAATTTTTTTTTTTTTGCTGCGGGTCCTACAAAATATTGTGTGTGTAGGAAACTTTTTGTGGTCAGGTTAAATGATAGATGATAAACCCATAAAGAATATCCCTTAAAAAAAAAAGGTTTTACTGAAATTTTCTGAACCACCAAAACATAGAACTCCACAAAAACAGTGTTGGGCAAGCAAAGCATAAGAGCGAGCGTAGATGGAGAATATCAAGTTCGCATCTTTGACACTGTCTCCTCCTTCTCGACGCTCTGGTATCTTCCACTCTTCAACCCTTTTCTCCCTTTCCTCCTTTATTCATTCATTTCTTGTCACTTTATTTTCCATGTTCCTTCCCAAAATCATGGAGCTTCTTTATGGGAAATTCTGGTTCCATTATTATTATTTTTTTGGTACAATTGAAATTTTCAATTTAACATATCAGGAATTTGTGTTTTTTATTTTTTGGGGGTGCCACGGAATTTTGTGACAATTTTAGAGTTAGAGCGTTGACTTTGCTTTCGTCTTAGTAGTATAGTATTGGTAGGAGAAGTTGTTTTATCTTTTCTTGGGTACCCTTTTTATTTTATTTTTTACTTTCTTCTCTCTCAGAAAATGTAATTTGGTATTGTTTGATATAATTAGATATTTATGTGTTATTTTGGTAGTGCAGGGATGCTGGGGAAACAGTTGAATTCCCCCCTACTTACTATTGATTCTGCAGCACAGTTCTTCTATTGCAAGGTAAATGCATTTTAACATGTCATTTCTAGTGAGTTGTGGTGGCTCTTTACGTGTATGTGTGCTAGGGAATGGTTGGTCTGGAAGGTTAATAAAATATGTTTCATATTTAGATTTATCTTTTTAGGTTTGTCCAGGGAAAGATTGAAAGCTGTTTTTGTAGAAACTTGAGAATGGGTGTTAATCAGTGGAAGGTGGGTTTTAATTAGGAAGTTCTTAGGGGTTCTCATGTGCTTTTAGCAGTAAAAATGTAAATAATAAGGATGTAGACGAAGTTTAGAAGACAACTTGCTTGAATTTTGGTTATTATGTGTTTGCTTCTTATGTGGAAACTGGAGAGAAGCCAGTTGATGGTCAATGCTCATCATCAGCAAGGCAAGAGTGTAAAATTTGCCATCTATAGGACTATGTTAGCTTTTCATTGCTCATTCATAAAGCTAGCTGAATGATGGGCGGTTACTATGATCTTGGATGGTTATTATTTTTTCAGAGAATGTGTACTAGTTTATCCTTCTTGGGTCATCAATTCCTCATCATTCTGATTCCTTTTATGGTGGCCATTAACTGAATAATGGATGCTCTCTTGTTCTGGATTTTTTTTTTTTTCTGCGGCTCTACCTATGAGGCAGCTTCATCAAGAAGCTGGGTTTTAACATCCCAATGTTTTTCTTCTAGGATTGAGGTGTATAAGAGTGTTTTCATGGTTTTTGTACTTTTGTTAGTCAAATTTCACGCTGAAATAATAAAACTGTAGTTTTACCATATGTATTAGCTGTCTCAAACCGAGAGAGGAATCCAATTTTTTGTTTTGGAGGTCGAATTTTATGCCAAAAATACTATAGTAAAGAATCATGTTAATAAAATTTTGAGTAGAGAAAATATAAAGGATATTGTTCTCTTTATTGTTAAATAATTGTGATCAGTGTGAGTGGTGGGGGCTTTCCATGATGGCTGATTTGATACATAGTTACAAACTCAAAATGCTTAATATTCTTTTGTACATTTTAGATTCTTGAATATGCTGAAACATAGGTTACTGTGGAAATCATAAGAATTTAGGTGGGGAAGGAATATATGAATATTATTTACAGTGCGTAATGGTGTGTGATAAGATATGTTACAAAAGACAAAGCACTATCCTTATTTACAGTAATACAAGACTCATCATCCTAATTGAATTAGGAAACAAATCATGAAATTTAATGATATATGAAAACCAGTTTTAAAAGATCATACAAGATACTTTGTGATATTGTAAGATACAGAAATGATATTATATGTTATTTTCTAGATATTCTAACTGTTACATTTTTTACTCCCAATTCTATCAGAGCTATTATTCAACAAGAAACTATATTTTATAATTTTGTACATCAAGTAAGAGATAAAGATTGAAGTCCCAGAACTGAAAATCTAAGGCCTTGAAATGCTGCTAAACAATACGATTTTGTTAACAAATAAATATCAGATAAGATATTCTTCTTAGGAGCTTCAGAGAAGTAAATTTCATTGTTCTTCGTTCTATGGCATCCCGTTCTCCTTCCACTTCATGAAGGGTTAATATCGGGGTTGAAGAGCTAAGTATTGAGCTCCTTTTAAAAAAATTTATGCGCTGTATAAAGTCTGTTCCTTTTCTTATTCTTTTCCAAAGTCATCTTTTCACATTTCTCCTTGAGTTACAACAGTATGGAGGTTTGAATTTAATCTTGGGGTTATTTATTCTATCTTAAGATTTACTCGATGTTTTGCTGACATAATTAGATTGTCTTCCTACTTATATTTCTGTTATTTATTTATGCCTCATGCGCACCATCAATCGTAAATCTTTACTTTTGAGATCTGCAATGGCCACAGTTGAAAGTTGGAAAATTGAACAGGAGTGTATAAAAATTTCAATGCCCATCTGAGTCTGAAAACTGTATATGATCATACAGGCTGATCTTTCTGCTGCCTCATCAAGTATTCCACTGCCAATTATCAGATTTCCTTGTAGATTGTCACCAAGTGTAGCAAAAGCAACATGGACCTCAAATCTTTCTTTCAAGCATTGGATATTGCATTCAACTGCACAGATAGAAAATATAATCACAAGTGATGAAGATCAGAGTATGTGGGAAGCATGTAGACAAGCTCTTTCTGCATTTAACTTTAGCGATGAAGAAAAGGACAAGATACTTGGAAAAGCATTTGGTCTTGTTCATTCACCTTATTGGGGAGAAGAACGTAAGAAGGAAATTCCCAAATTTGAGACGGTAAATGGAATATTAGACTATCTGAGGAGTTTAACTCTTTCTGACGATGATATGTCCAAGTTGCTCAAAAAGTTTCCAGAAGTTCTTGGATGTAATTTAGAGGAAGATTTGAAAGGTAACGTAAAGATCCTAGAGGAGCAGTGGGGTATTAAAGGAAAAACTCTTAGAAATCTCCTCCTTCGAAATCCAAAAGTTTTGGGTTATAATGTTGATTGTAAGGGAGACTGTATGGCTCAATGCACTAGATGCTGGGTTCGTTTCTAGGTCATTGGATGAGATGTATGTATTTGTAAAATTAGTTCACTTCAGCATAACTTCTTTGTTCATTCATCCACCTCTCCAACTTAAATAGAAGACAGAGTTGTATGTAACTAAAGGTTCTCACTTTTTGGGTACTACGTGGCAATAATAATTCACTCCCAAGTTTGAAGAGTTACACTTAGCAAGTATGCTTATGATTTAGATACTACTGTGAATTGTTGAAGTGTCCAGACCATGGAATGGAGCAACTCATAGTAAGGTTGTTTATAAATCATGTTCTTTAGTCCAAAGAAGTTTTATTGTTCTTGATCTCTTATATTGTTATTTTTGCTCCTAAAGTTGATATAATTACACCTCTTATGTAAATCTCCACTCCCTCAAGTCATTGATGATGTCAGACAGGATTTATTATTTGAGTTCCAACTTCCATGTCTCAGATATTATCAGGATGTAGTTTATGTTTTTATTTATGTTTTGGAGTTTCAATAGCATGCATATTCCACTGACATTGGTTAGATTATTTGTTGTTCTAGTTTCCTGCAGAAGTTTCATGCAAATATAATATTGATGAAGGTTGTAAATTTATGGCGGAAGTGATACTGATGATTGTCAATTCAATCTTGAGCTCCTTTTGGATATTATACCTGTTTTGAGAAGTTTTCTCTTTCTTATAATATTGTTTTTGGGAAAAACATTTCAGAAAAGTTATTTGCAATATACTATGTAGTACACTATGTACTAAGGATAGTAGATAGTGTAACTTTTGAAATGAACTCTATTTTTGTTTAGATTTCAATAGTTACACTATATACTACCCTTAACACATTATTAGGGATGTGCAAAAGAATCAAAAAATTGAACTATGAACTGAACTGAATTGCTCTTAAAATAATCGATTTTTGGAAACTAGTTCATGAATCGAACTGGTTTTTAAAGAACTAGTTCATGAACCAAATTAATTTTTAGAAATCAGTTCAAGAACTGAACCGAACCGAATCGTTTTCAAACCGAATTGAACTGTTTTATCTCTTTATTATTTATTTATTTTTCAGAATAGGTTCTACTCGAACCGGTTTCGAACCGAACCGAACCATTTTCAAACCGAACCGTTTTCGAACTGAACCGTTTAAATCAATTCGGTTTAGTTCTTTAAAAAATTCAGTTCAATTCGACCTATGCACACCCCTATACATAATGCACTGCAGATAATTTTTCTGCATTAACCGCAGAAAAGTTAAACCCGTTGTTTTTAGTTCATTATTTCATTATGTTGCTTGATTTATTTGATTGAATAAAGAACCATAATTAATAAGATTATTACTCCACAGAAGCATTAATTTGGATCTTCTCTCTGTCTAAAGAATTTGACAAAGTCATTTTAAGAGAGTGGAAAACGCAAGTTATCTTGCATGGGGACTCATCATTACTGTGTATGTCTATAGGGATACACAAGTCTTGCACAAGAGTTGTTTCCCTTCTCTCAAATAAATGAATATATAAAATGACAGTAGTATATTCGTGAGCCACATCCCTTGTGCATGGTGGAAAACTGAATCTGTATTATTTATGCACAAGGTTACATCTCAATGAAATGACTGGAGTCCTCAGGGATGAACACATTACATTCGGCCCAAGTATTTTGAGGTTTGAATTTTGTTGTAATCTCTTAATAGTGTAATTTTTTGGGGCGAATTGATTATTTATAGTTTTGTTTTAATCTTTTAATATTTTTATGTTTAGTATTAAAATACAAGACAAATATTTATTTTTTCTTCAAAATAATAGGACTATTGATTACTATGTTAGTTTTAGTTAAAAATATGGATGCACCTATTAAAAAATAAATCTATTGGTAAGACGATTTATTTACCTACTATGTTCATTGTTGTTCAACTTTGAATCTGAAATTTGTTTACTCTTAAGTTGTAAGTGATTTTTAGATAGTAAATCTACACCTCATTACAGAATGCATAGGTTATCAATTTTTTGTTTGTTGCTAGAAATTTTCCATTTTTGCAAGGCTGTGTCACTGTCTATCAAACCATATATATAAGCTTAAAGAGTAATGTTACTTAACCTTATCCTCAAACTGCCTAAGGTGGATTGTGCAAGTTTCGTTTTTAAAGCTCTAAATATAGGTCCAAAAACTACATTTGAAGCACAAGTCATACCGAACCTTGCATGCAGATCTCATTGGAACATATCTTCAGCTAGTTTTCGCACTCAAAACAAATTATCAATTCACGGCATCTTAGAGGGAAAACACTTTTAACACCATCTATACCAATCTTTTCCTAAGCAGTAAATTAAAACAAAAAAAAAAAAAAAAAACTATAGCATGGAAGTTGCATTCACGCAACTCTTTTATCCAACTTGTTGGGTGTATGCATGTCACCACAAGACCTTTCCCTCTCAGAACCTTCAAGAATCCTGACCTTAAATATAAAAGCATGCTCTTAGCAGTAAACTTCCCTATTTTTTAAAGCTACTTTGGGCATTGTGACTACTGACTAGGATATGTCATATATAGTAAGTTATTTCAATTCTTCAATGTCACCGGTTATTATTATTTGATTTTTTTTGTGTGGATACAAGTTAGAATTGAACACGTATCCTAATACAAGTATACAACCTACCCAAAGACCTTATCACTGTACCAAACTTACCTTGCGTTTGTATGGACTTTTTAATAAAGTCCTTTTTATCACTTCCTTATTTTAAAAGTACTTTCTATAAAAGTTATAGCTATTTAGATTTTTAAAAAAATATTTGATTTTTGAAAAAAATATTTGGCTTTTGACTTCTGTTTTTTTTAAAAGTTAAAATTTTTAGCTTTTGAAAAAAAGTAAGTTTTTAGCTTTTTATGACTTCTGTTTTTTTTAAAAGCAGACATCCAAACAGACTTTTTTCGAAAAGGACTTTTTTTTCTTAAAAAAAACAGCTTTTGAATAAAAAAAAGCTCATCCAAACGGGCTCTTAGTAGCTTTATTTAACGCTGCAAATGCTTGTAGAATTAGAACTTTTCCATTTATTGACAATTAGCATGCCTTAGAATTTGGTCATGAAGATATATAATAAGGAAAATATTACTTTCCTTTCACGTAAGATAATTTATCTTATATTATTTCACTTCGATTTTTGCACCTCATTTTTTTTTTATACAATGGTGGGACTCATCCATTTTCTCTCTACAACATAAGATAACTATCTTATGTGAAAAGAGAGTAATAAAAGTCATATAATAATTGGTCCTTTATTTTCTTCATTTTGTCGATGTGTTTGTTTACTTTAATGGATTGTAGATACAGAACTACCGTTTATATGTTCTCAGACATACGTCATCGACTTAAATCCCCTTTCAGATTATGAATTTGTTTTCCATTTTCAGACTATTGAAGTTGAACAAACCAATATCCAAATATAGTATATTTTCTTCAGTTAATTATAGTGTCCCACCACTACCAAACATGGGTGGAAGGTTTCCTCTTCGCCCATTGGCGCCATTCGTCAGCTTCTTATGTTTCATTATATAGTTGGTCGATTAACTAATGAGATCACACACTATTAATTAACACATTTTTGTGATGTATTTCGAGGTTCCTTGTTCATGCAAATTTTTCTGCTTGATGACAGAAAACACAACCATATGAATTTGGTTGAATTGCTTGTTGGATCTTTACAAGTGTGGTGTTGTGGGCTAACTATTTCTAATTACTAGAATTAACTTTGCTTGAGGGTTATTCTTTTAGTTGATGACTAACAACTATTTTAGTTAATTAAGAGTTTTCACTATGTATATTTAGAACCTGTGATTCTTACTTAAACTCAGCACTTCAACTAGACTATTGACCTACAAGCTAAATTATAAACATGATTAATTGGCCTACTTTAAAAAAATAAAAAATCTACTTTTCTTTATTAACTTATATAATCTTATGAAACTTTCAAGCTCCATCAAGAATTAAAAAACAAAAACTAGCATAATATTATTTTATTCATTAAAATAAATAATATTGCAAAAAGCATATGCAAAATAAATTATTATTTCAAAATTTTCTCATTTTTAAATCTGACGCATAAGTTTTACAAATGATTTTTTTATAGACATGTAGTTTATTAGATTAAGTGCGGTATTAAATGTTTCAATACTTTTCAACTACTTGCTTAATTATTTGACATTTTCTTCAGAAGGTAAGAATCGAATATAGTGTTATCAAAAAAAAAAAAAAAGAATCGAATATAGATCTCCATGGAGAGTAAATTAATAAATAGTTAAATGAAAAAAAAAAATACAATAAAATAATCACATTAGTCAGCTTCACGGATATATATTACATAGTGACCTCCAAAAGACAATTTGGATTATCTCTTGGGATCAAAGTATGTTCATTTAAATAGATTTTCAAACTCACATGGTTTAACATTCTTTAGACACATTACTTACATAAATGGTGCCCTGTGATTCTACATGTGAGAATGCTGTGGGCGTTTAATTAACGTTTTGTGACTATAGCACATAGCATAATTAATGCATTGAATATCTCTTTCCACAGGATAATTCATTGAATCGCTTAACACAAAAAAAAAAAAAAAACATAAAAACAAACACCATAGAGGATTTAAGACACGTATTAGAGTAAGTGACAAACTAGAACTGCATTCGGTGTCAGATTTTAATGTCATTTAGCTTTATAGGTTATCCTACCGTGACTATAATTAAGTTACCTAGCATGGCGGGTGTTTTTAATTTAATGCTTAAGTGAACCAAAACGCATGACCACAAATTGGAGGTTGGTATTAAAATATTTAAATATTAAAAAAGAATTCAACAACAGGAAATAACTTACGCAATAGGTTTCTGTGTCCTCGGACAAAGGTAAACAAAAGTTTACGTAATAGCATCATTTACTTTGTCAATTCAATCACGGTTAGAAAACTTTCAAAGTACACATGCATATGAATAGGCAAGTTTGTTGAATGATGTTGATCACTTTATTCGTGATACAGCTGGAACATGTCCTCCTAGTAAATAACCTTCTGATCTTTCCCTTAATTATAAATAGTGAGAACTACTTAAGCTTCTGACCCGCAATTTTCTTTCTCACTGTCTCTTTGTCTTCTAATTTGTTTTTCTTGTTACCCCTAAGAAAACAGGTAACACGATGGCCTTCAACAAAAGCATGGTTATCTTGGCAATTCTCTGTTTCATCCTTGTACAAGAGGTAAAGTTGTTTATAGGGTTCTTTTCATGATATGCATGCATCTTATGCATAATATATTAAAGATTATTTTGTGTAATTTTTCGTTCTTCATATCAGTCTCATATATTGCTTCCTTTCTATGTTTTATCTATTTATACAGTACATTATATAGAATTCTTTGATATCGTTGGCAAACTATGAGATTAATCATTAATTTCCAATAAATGAGAATTATTGATCGGTGGAATCAATAGTTAGGATTTGGTGTCAAATTTTAAAATTTGATACCGGTGTCAAATGATCATATCTCATATATATACATATATTCATGTCTATGTATACTGGGGTCTGTTTCATATGTGGAATCTAGCTTGAATTATGATATTGAGATATCTGTTTTAATTTCCAGAACTGCTTTTGTGTTATTATTATTTTTATGGAAAATCTATTATTTTAGTGTTGTTTCAATTATTATTATTTTTTACTCTCTCTTTTTTGCTCGATCTCGCCTATACAAAACTTTTGAACCATCTTCGACTATAGTACTCAGATTGCTAATTTTCTCTTTTGCATTTTTTCTTCAATATTGGAAAAAATTTCAGTTGGAGATCTATTGTGGAAATCAGCACATGGTTGCTGCCGAACGGATAGGTAAGACTTAATAGAGAGTAATATTTTACATGTTGAAAGCACTGGGAATGTTATCAGTGGTAACTAAATCTTATACTGTTTGTAGCTTATACTGATAAATTATGTTTAGATGGATAAAAGTTACCCAAAATCTAATGATTTCACTCTTCTAAAATATAAAAAGATGTATAGAATCATATATTGATAATAAAGTCAAATATTTATTTATATTAATTTTATTGTATTATTAACCATTAATAATTAAGATTTCTTATTTATTTTTCCCTCAAAAGTAAATATTCACTTTGGATGAATTAAATACTTAATTATCTAGAAACAAATTAAAATAATTGTTCATATATCTAATGTAATTAATTAAACATTGAAATAATATTAGGTAAATTTATTTGTAATTGATTGCAAAATCTCTATGTGAAACATTCTATCTCTTGAAATTCAAAGGATTTAGCGGATCAATTATCTATTAGATCAAAAGAAGAAGAAGATTAAAATAATAGAACGAATGCTAGTTAGTGAGTTGGTAGATAGCTGAGTTCCTTAAGCATGCTGACAGGAGTTCGATTCCTGGCCGTGCGTATGAAAAAGACTTTGTTGGGAGAGGTTTACTTACTTAATGTGATCTCTCGCCTTGAAAGGATTAGTCTTCGACTGTCGGATACCTTGAGAAACCAAAAAAAAAAGGTGAAAATAAATATAAAGTATTAAATATGAGAAATCATAACCATAGATGGAAATAAATATAACCGTTAGATCAACATAACGATCTAACGGTGAAATTGATTGGTAGTAACACTAGTTGATTGTTACATTATCCTTCCCCATATATATATATATATATATATATATATATATATATATATATATATATATATATATATAGACACCAAACTGATTACACCAAATTCTGTATACCAAATTGATTAGCCATTCATCTAGATAAAAAAATTAAAAACTATTCTGTAAAAATGAAATCCTGCAAACTTCCATATGATGTTATAAATCATTATTTTCTTTTCAGTTCTACAAGAATTAATAATTTTGAATTTTTATTTCTTTTTATTCTCTTTCCCAATCTTCCAACTTAGGTGAATAATTGTGCTTATTAAAGGCTATCATTGTGTGGAATGTGAACTTAATTTTATGTTGCAGACTGTGCTGGCAAATGCAACTACAGGTGCAGCAAGTCGTCAAGGCACAATATGTGCATAAGGGCATGCACTGGTTGCTGTAAGAAGTGCAATTGCGTGCCACCAGGCACATCAGGGAACAAAGATAAGTGCCCTTGCTATGCATCCCTCACCACTCATGGAGGAAAGCTCAAGTGCCCTTGAGAGTTATATTTATATATATACATATCAGAAATTCCAACAGACATATATATATATAAATAATGCAGAATATGTGATAATATGGTTTGATCAAAATAAGGCACTTAGGGAAGCAAATAGCTAGCAGTGAAGGGGCTTGTTGGATAATTATAAGGAAAATGAATGATTTGATTTGGTTTAATTTTGTAATGCTTCAATATTTGTTTGGTACAAGGGAAGAGCATGTGTGAGCTTTGCACTTATTAATGTTGGTGTTGGTCCAAGTTGCAGTGTTCTTTGCATCAACAAATTGCAGCAATTTTGATAGTTATTATTTATTATTTTTATCATAAACAAAAAGAAGTCATACAAATTAAACACAACTTTTAGAGTAAATACCTTTTTTTGGTCTTCAGCAAATTTTACGATGTCCGCTTTAGTCCCTAGCAAATAAAAAAGTCCATCGTGTTCCCTAAAAAATTCAAAATGAACTTATTTTAGTCCTTTTGAGGACTAATATGAGTCTTTTTTGAATTTGTGAGAGACCACAATTTCAACTAAATGGGTCCATTTTGAATTTTTTAGGGACCACGATGAGACTTTTTATTTGTTAGGAACTAAAGCGGATATCGTGAAATTTACTGAGCACTAAAAAGGTATTTACTCCAACTTTTATACATGGGCATGTGTGAGGCACGACTTGTGTTGTTTTTTATTAGAAAAAATAACTCAGTAGTATGTTATATTAAAAAAATAAAAATAAAAAATAACTCAGTAGTAAGTTCTGCATGTATTATAATTAGGAGTATAACTTTTAATAAAACTAATATTAAAAATTAAATATATTTATGAATCGTGGCTTGTTCCAAGTTTAATGAGAAATTAAAACATTTGAAACTTGCATTTAGATTGGATATTAAATTTAAAATAATAGCAATTTAAAAATCATGTAAATTAACTGTACTTGTTAGAAAACAATATAAACCATTAAAAAAGTCATTACTCAACATATTAATATTTTGAGTTGAAATGGTTCTTTACATGGTATCAGAGCTTAATATTCATGCTTCAAGCCCAAATAGCTCTTGTGTGAGGGGATGTATTAGAAAATAATAAATCCAAGCTTAATATTCATGGTTCAAGCCCATGTGGGTAAAGGATTTCTCCAGTCAATGGAGATAAGTTATCTCTGGTGAATCCAAAACGACGTCGTTTTGGGACGAAAATCAAGGTATTTTTGTAATTTAATATATTGTAGGGTTATATTAGTCTTTATTATTATAATTTTTTGATCTTATAACTTAAAACGACGTCATTTTGAGCTCACTGGAGATAACTTTATCTCCGATAACCGGAAAAATACTTTTCTTATAATATAAACTATTAAAAAAGTCATCACGACACATTTTAAAATTTTGAGTTGAAATGATTTTCTACCCCACAATAAAGTAAAAAATCCCATATTGCCGGTGATGTTAGAGTGAAAAACCGTTGTCCGAAAAGAAATTAAACTTCGACAAATTAAAAGAGAAAAGTCTATTTTCAATGGAAACTAATCATCCTTTTGCAAACAATGCCAAAGAACTAGGGCTGTGCATGGGTCAGGTCGGGTCAGGTTTTTGTCCGACTCGACCCAACTTGATTTTTATAGGTCAGATATTTTGACCCGACCCGCTTTAATTTGATCCAAGTCAGGTCTGACTTGGATTGGATTTTGTTGAACTAGTTCAGAATCAGTTTGGATCTGACTTGACTTGGTTTCTGAAGTGGGTCTGACTTGGTTTTTGAACTGGGTCAAATCTTACCTGACCCGTTTTTGACTTGGTTTTCTCACAAAATTCTGTCGAAATTTTTACGTTGCAAAAGACGAAAATTTCGTTACAAAATTATTTTTTCGTCGAAATTTTTACAAAAAAAAAATTTTCTATTGAAATTTAGTTTCCGTCAACAATTTTGACGAAAATTATTTCTTCCATCAAATGTTTTAAACAAAAAAAGAATTTTGTCAAAAAATTTGACAGAAATTATTTCGAGGGAAATGTTTCATTTGAAACTTTCGACGAAATTTAGATTCTCTAAAGAATTTTAACATAATATTTTTTTCGTCAAAATGTTTTTTTTTGTCAAAAAATTTTACGAATTTTTTTTATAGAAATGTGTTTCATTGAAAATTTTGATGGAAATTTTTTATCAAAAAACTTGACGAAAATATTTAGTTGAAAATTTTCGATGGAAATGTGTTTCGCTGAAAATTTCAGCGAAATTTTTTTTTTTGTTAAAATATTTAACGAAAATTTTTTCGTCGAAAACTTTTGCCGAAATTTGAAATCTGTAAAGAATTTTGATGAATTTTTTTGCCGTCGAAATTTTTTGCCGTCAAAATTTTTTGATGACGAAAATGTTTCCGTCGAAAACTTTCGCCGAAATTTGAAATCTGTAAAGAATTTTGATGAAATTTTTTGTCGTCGATATTTTTTGCTGTCAAAATTTTTTGATGACGAAAATATTTCCGTCGAAAACTTTTGCCAAAATTTGAAATCTGCATAGAATTTTGATGAATTTTTTGCCGTCAAAATTTTTTGATGACGAAAACATTTCCGTCTTAAATTATCGCCGAAATTTGAAATCTGTAAAGAACTTTAATGAAATTTTTTGCCGTCGAAATTTTTTGATGGAAATGTGTTTCGTCGAAATTTTAATGAAAATTGTTTTGAGGAAAATGTTTCATTTGAAACTTTCGACGAAATTGAGATTCTCTAATGAATTTAGACAAAATATTTTTTCTTTCAAAATTTCTTATCGAAATATTTTTGTAAAAAAATTTTAAGAATTTTTTTTACAGAAATGTTTTCCGTTGAAAATTTTGATGGATATATTCTTTATCAAAAAATTTGACGGAAATTTTTTCGTCGAAAGTTTTTATGAATATATTTTTTTGTGAAATATTTTGACGAAATTTAGATTCCGTAAAAAAATTTGACAAAAAAAATATTCCGTCAAATTTTTTTACCGATATGTTTTTAGTCACAAATTTTGATTAAAATATTTTTCGTCAAAAATTTTTGCGGAAATATATGAAAATATTTTTCATAAAAAATTTTGACGTAATTGTTTTACGTTAAAATTTTTCTGTCAAAAATTTTTGCGAAAATTTTTATGAAAATATTTTTCATAAAAAATTTTGACGTAATTGTTTTACGTTAAAATTTTTCTTTTAATGTAATTGTGATTTTTTTTTTCACATAATGGGTATGGGTCAAGTTTTGGGTCAGTGGGTCAATATTAAAACGAGTCAGGTCTAAACCTGACCCAAATAAAAGTGGGTCAGTATTTACACCAGTTCAAATAATATGGGTATTTATGGGTCGGGTCAAGGTCGGATCAAAGGCAGGGCAAGTGAACCAGTTTTTTGGCACACCCCTACAAAGAACCGTACATAAGAATATACAAGACATACTTGTCGTTTTTTTATTTTATTTTTTTATTTTATTTTTTTATATAGGTTAATTTGGCTAAAAAGGAAAGGAATACAAAGAGACGTATAAATTATGTTGACGACCAAAGGGCAAAATGACTGAACTCAATGTCATGACCTGCCAACGACATGAGAACATTACACAACAAAATGAAAACTCTAAAACCAGAATTGAAAGAAAATCCCAAGGGGGTGTTTGGTTCAGGAGAAATTTTTTTTTACTGGGGAAATAGAATGAGTAGGAAAATGATTTTGGTAGGAAAATGTAAAAAACGTTGTTTGGTTCGCCAAAAGTTTACCGGGAAAATTGGGTTAAATTTTTTAAGTGTATGTTTGGTTGAAGATAGAATATTGATGGGAAAATTGTTTGAAAATACTAAAGTACCCTTTTTTTCTTTTACTATTTTTAAAAGTGAGTTTCCATTGTGTGTACATAGTATATTATGTGATGGGTAATTGTGTCATTGTATTCTTATGCTTTAATAACTTCTCAGGGGGTGTTTAGTTCAGAAGAAATTTTTTTTTACTGGGGAAATAGAATGAGTAGGAAAGTGATTTTGGTAGGAAAATGTAAAAAAAGTTGTTTGGTTCGCCAAAAGTTTACCGGGAAAATTGGGTTAAATTTTTTAAGTGTATGTTTGGTTGAAGATAGAATATCGATGGGAAAATTGTTTGAAAATACTAAAGTACCCTTTTTTTCTTTTACTATTTTTAAAAGTGAGTTTCCATTGTGTGTACATAGTATATTATGTGATGGGTAATTGTGTCATTGTATTCTTATGCTTTAATAACTTCTCAGATTTTTTCCTGAATACCACCTCCTCAATTGCTTTCTTCAACAGTGAAATTCATGCTTTTTAACACACAAACCAGTTTGCCTAAGGAAGTGACATTGATGGGTAACAAACATGAAATCAGTGAACCAAACTTGGACAACCAAGTATCTAAGAATCACTTTGATGGGAAACAATGGCAAACTCCTCAACCAAACACAAAAGACAAATATTTTAGTCCTTTTCAAACAGATAAAGTTACATTGCTAAGTAAGCATTTTAACCAATACTATTAAAACTTACCGATCGAGATACTGAGTTACTGGTTCAACTGTATGACTTGTTAATTATATGTAATTCTATAATTTATATTAAAAAATTATAAATATACTCAAATGTCTAAAAAGATGATAAAAATTTCAAATATTTTAATATAAAAAATAAAAAATCACATATTATTATCTAATAAATGATCAAACAAAAATATACTGATCGTGATACGAGACTTCAGGTCCAGTAAATGACATCTCTAACTATAAATCAAATCAAAATTTTCTACATAGTGCATAACTGAGATAATATTAGTGTTGTAGGTACATAAATTATGTAAGTCAATAAGTAAAAAAATATTCAAATATGTCCATTATTAATATTTTTTAAAAAAGAATTTTTTTTTTTAGAACTAGGCCGGGTCACTAGTTAACCGACCGGGTCACTGATTTTCATGAAAACTGACCGGGTCGCACCAGTTCTGATACATAGCCGGTCTGTTGCTTCAACCGGACCGGTTATATGACCGGTTCCCTGGTCGATCTGATTTTATCAACATTGGTTTTAACTATTGTTCTATAAAAATCAATTGAATCCAATAATTGAATTGTTAGATAAAGATCATATTAATTATTTTATACTATATATTTTTAATATATCTCCTCGTACAAAAATTTCTTGGACTTGACGGGTAGAATTACACATACCTAAATTAAATAAAAGTGACGAGCTTTGAAATTTGTAATGTCAAACTCAAAAAGCGGTCAAATAACAAAGGCTTTCAACATCCTCATATAAATTTGTGACATATTAGCAATCTTTTCTTATTTAAACTTTGTTCCACAACAAATATTGGAAGTTATAGACTTATAGTACATACATAAAAAAGTTTATCTACAAAAGGCTTTATAAATCCTCATATGAGTATTATTAAAAGCTTTTCGTAAAATTTGTGATATATGAGCAATCTTTTCTTATTTAAACTTTGTTCCACAACAAATATTGGAAGTTATAGCATATACATAAAAAAGTTTTTCTACAAAAAGAGATTGATAAAGTAAATTTATTTTTTAAAATGAATAAATAAAGACAAATGTATTCATAAAGTTTAATATTTTTTTTGATACAAGTAAGAATTAAACACGTAACCTATTATAACTTATCCAAACCCCTCCTCACTTGACCAATCCTACTTGCTTTAAAGTTTAATATTATATATACAGAGATGATTATATTGAATTTTTTTTTTTACAAACTTACACACTACACTATGTTTTACTGGTAAGCTTCACTCAAGAGTGTTTTACCGATAAGACATAATATAGTTTGTAAACAAAAAGATTGCAAATATAACCTTCACCATCTATATATATATATATGAAAAAAATATTTATACAGCCACTTTAGATAAAGTTATCTACAGCTATTCCAAAAACTACGTTGTTTTGATTAATGAAGGGTGTTTCTGTAAAATACATATGATAAAAAATCAAATAAAATTACGAAAATACTTTTCATTAATTCACCTAAAATTACAGAAACACCCTTCGTTAACCAAAACAACGTAGTTTGGGTAGCTGTAGATAATTTTATCTAAAGCAGCGGTAGAAATATTTACCCCTATATATATATATATATATATACACATATATATATATATACCGGTATAAGAATAATACATCTTATATCAAATCTTAACTGTTAATTTTCGTGCATTTAGCGGTTAAGATTTATTGGGTTCTACTTATTAGGTGCACGAAAATTAATGATTAAAATTTGATGTAAAATTTATTATTTTTATACTGGTATAAGTTGATCCCATTTCATATATATATATATATATATAATGCAAAGAAAATTAGTCAGTGTAACAAAAGTTTATGAGATGGCATCATTAAAAAGTTAGGAGAAAGTTTTTGGTGTAATAGATATAAGTACATTCATATTAAAAGAAAAAAGTTTTTGAAAGTTAAAAGAAATTATACAAAAAAATATAGTTAAAATGAAAAAAAATACCCTTTTAATAAAAGAAAATAACGAATTCGATACTCTCGTAATATTGAAGAAATTTCCCTAAGCTAAATAGTAGAGACTATGTGCATGTTTGGATCCTCTCTTTTTTAAGCTAGAAGCTACTTATAAGTATAAGCTAGGCCAAACAGGTTTTGAGAAAAACTCTTATAATGAAAAGCTCTTCTTTTTATAATGAAGAAAAAAGCTGAAAACTAAAAGCTCCTAGGATGAGCTTTTTTTTAAGCTCTTATCTGTTTTTCTTGAATTGTGTACTTTTTTTAAAATGAAGAGTGATAAAGATGAAGAGAGAGATAATTTTCTTGAAATATGTACTTTTAAGTAATTTCTAAGCTAAATTTTTTATGTAATTTTCAAACAACTTTTTTTTTTTTTTTTTTTTTTTTTTTCAAACAGGCTCTATGTAATGCAAAAGAGAGAGAGAGTAGAGACTACATAAGTACGGTTATCTTCGGCAAACAACATTTTTCGAGATAAAAATTGACTTCCTGGGATTATATTTTTTGAAGGAAGTACGAAATTGCTTTCAACAAATATCCAATGGCTTTGAAATACAGCTAAAACAAAAATGCTAGCAGTTGATGACAAGATAGAAATGACAAATTATTACAAAAAAAAGAAGAAGAAAAGAAATGACAAATGATGTTGCTGTTGCCTATGATCAAATTTTGCTTTTGATCATGAGAGTGACGTTACTTAATAGAAAAATTCACAAAAATTATGACATAATTTAGTTAAATTAATTAAAATTATTCATTTATCTATAAGTTAATAAACAAGTTAGCTCCAGTAATTATTATTATTATTTTTAACTATCTACCATTTTCCTGCTTTTAAAACTAAAACCTAACTTTAATTTTATTTTTATTTTTTAAAAAAAGGCAATATACCAATAAAATTTCTACACAAACGTTCAAATATTATAAAAGTGATAGTAAAAAAGATTTATATTTGATAAATAAATAATAAATTTGATTGGGTCGAATTGAATCGTGTTCCTTGAGATGCAAATATTTGGTGCGTGAATGGGAGAATCACCTTCGTAGCTTCCGAAAATGGGTGACAGAAGAAGGAAGCAGCGTCATCTGCAAGACGCATCGACTTCTTCATCCTCTCCGTCCTCCGCCTCCGACTCCGACTCCGACCGCTCTTCGAGGCGGCGGAGGCGGCGCGAAAAGGATCGGCGCAGAAGGAACGAGGGAGGCTCCAAGCGAGAAAGGGAGAAGGAAGAGAGAAGGAGGAAGAAGAGAGACAGAGAGAGGAAATTGAGGAAAAAGAAGAAGAGAGTCCACGATTCTGATGTGTCTGAGTCTTCGGAGGAGGAAAATAGACTTAGGGTTGAGCCTGAAACTGTGGTGCATGAAATTATGAAGGAGTTTCCCAATGTTGGCAATGATTTGAAGCTGGTATAAATATCTATATCTTTTTAAATTTTTTTTTTCTTAATTGCTCTTCTGGTAGTGTGTCAATTTTGATTGTTAGTGTTTGTTTGGTGTTTGTTCAGATGATGAAATGTTCATAGGCATTGTCAAGTGTTACTGAGAGCCATGACTTCTCTAGGTTTCAAGTTGAGTTGTTTGAGTTCTCTAGAAATATAAATGTTTTGTTTGAAGCTGATCTTGCAAATTGTTTTCAATGCTTCTGCAAAAACTTTTTTTTTTTTTTTTTTAATGAAGCAATTAGACTCGGGGAGTTGGGCTCACTTGAGATTCTAAGAAAATGAATTGTCGCATGCTGACTTATGTAAGGAAAATGCATATATACGTTTAATTCTTATTAGTCTTGTTGCTGTTGTAGCTCTTGCAAATGATTGATGATGGACAAGCTGTTGACATAAAGGGTATATCAGAAAGATCTCTAATGAAGCATCTGAAGAAGCTGTTCCTTTCCTTAAATCTTAAGGAAAATGGAGATAGTGTTTTCTTACTTCCCTCTAAAGCTCGCCCTACTTTGGATGTTGTTGGCCCTATAATTCACTCTTATATGTATCCCATGAAGGAGCAAGCTGATGCTTCTGCAGCAGTGCCTGAATCATGTTCAGTTCCAATAGATATGGGAAGTGAACAGATGGTAAATGATCATATAACACCAGCACCAGAGGATCAGTCTGTTGGTCCTACAAGAAGGTGATAATTCTTTTTGTATTTCTGTTCACATTTCTTTTGTTATTTTTCCTAATTATTGCTTACTTTGTTCTGCAGGATGATTGGCCCTGCAATGCCATCAGCTGAATTACTCGCTGCTGCTGCTAAATTAACGGAGGCACAAACTGAGCTCAGGTACTTACTCATTTACGCTTTTATTGATTATATTTGCGAACTTAATTTAGTCAATTCACATAAGATGATACTGCATGATATTTTCAAACTAATGTCTTTAGAGAAGCGGAATTGGACGACGATACTGAACTATTTGTAGGACCTCCACCACCTGCTATGGTTTCTGAAGCTGAATCAGCTAATGAAGCTGAACGTTTTGAAGAGGTATTTAATCCCAGTAGTCATTGATTATGATCAAATTTTTGTTCTTTCTTCAAGTATTAAAATAAAAGCCTCAGATTTAATGATTGGTATCTGGTATTCAGTATTCCTATTATAAGATCAGATTTTATTTGGGGAACATGAGAAAGAACTTAAAATTTGGTGGCATATGCTTTCTACTCTCTCATTTCATTGTGCAGCTTCCTTCATCTGAAGGGAACTTTCTGTCCATCCAGTTTATTGTGGTGGCATCTCTCATCAATTTATGAAATTTTATGCCTTCATGTGAATTCAATGGTTTATTAACATTTTCTGCATTTTGATTAATCTTTCATAGTCAGTCTGTTCTTGTTTTGTTATGGGATAACAGTTTGGTTTCCTGTGGCCATGGATTGGTTGGGGGATTGAGGGTCGTATTAGTTTGGCTCTTTGAAGACAGGAATCTTTATAATTTTTTGTATTGAATCTCTCTCCTTTTTTTTGGATGGTTGATCATTTGCTTTTTTGTAATTTCTCTTCTCTCTTTTTTTTTTTTTTACCCCAAAGAGCTTCTTATCATGGGGGAAGAATTCTTTAATTCTCAGGTCACTGGGTTATTTATTACAGAATTAAATTTTGGATATTTATTTGTAATTGAATATGGAGGTACAAGTCATCACCTGCTTATTTCTCAGGTCACCAGGATCATGGAAGTTGAGGCTGACAGCCCATATGATGTTCTAGGAGTTAACCATAATATGTCCAGCGATAACATAAAGAAAAGGTATGCTCTCCTTTATAAGCTTCTTTAATTGATTCCTTTCCTTATCAAATGCTGGTTGCGGCCGACCCCAAAAAATGTTATAGTGGGTAGCAGTATAGCATAATAGAATCTAGCTATATGACACTTAAAGCTTGAGAAAGCTTCAGCCCCCATTATTTTTGTTGTAAATATTATTATTTATTTATTTTTTATTTGTTGTATTGAGCGTAGCCCATTAGGTCAAGTATTCTAGGTCGTGTATTCTCTATAAATAGAGAACCCTTTTGTACATATAATTTACAATTCTATAATATATTAGAATACCCTTTTTCAAGTCGGTATCAGAGCTCTCGATCTGAGGGTTCTGCTTCCGCACATATTGTCTTTTTTTAAACACAACCCTAATTTCTTTGCCTCTTGCCGCCATCAGCCGCCACCAGAAAAATTTTCCGGGGACCTTTTGGACCAAGGGGACCTTTGTTGACCTTTATTTTCTCCGATCTATCATTCTATGCACAGTTCCTCCGCCACAAACGACCCAAACACCTCCGACCGCCTCCAGTCAGATCTGTCTTCACCGTTTGGACCACTTTCCGGCAACTTTTCAACCGCGACCACCCACAGACAGGTGCGCGCTCACTGGACGACCACGCCAGAAAAATTTCAGCCGGAAAATCCCCTCCACGCGCTCATACGCACCAACTCTTTAGCGGCGAGTGAAGCCCACGCGCAGCCCATTTCTCCGGCGCGTGGAGGCGCGTGCGACGGTTGTTATTGACCGGACCACTGCCATTCTTCTTGTCTCCTTGTTCTCTGTCTGGATATGTGATTATTTCACTGATCGGACTTCATTTGATATCTGTTTGGTTGATTTTATCGCTGGTTGTTAACTTTTTTATTGAAGAATGGCCGAGAATGACAGTTCTTTGATCTTATCTGGTAAGAGCACACGTTCTATATCTCTTCTTCCTTCTTGCACTGATTTTAAAACCTCATGGATTTTGGATTCTGGTGCAACTGATCATATGGCTTGTCGTACTGAGTTGTTTTGTTCTTATCATCCTACTGTTGGTAGTCATATTATATCCGTAGCTGATGGATCCCATAAATCAGTTATTGGTTCTGGTAACATTCAAATTCAACCTTCCTTGTTTCTTAAAAATGTTCTTTATGTTCCTCAGCTTTCTACTAATCTTATCTCCACTCAAAAACTTACAACTGATTTGAATTGTTCTATCACATTTTTTCCTTCTCATTGTGTTATTTAGGATCTTACCACGAAGAAGACAATTGGAGTTGCTAATGAACATGATGGGTTGTATCATCTCTTTCCAGACCATGCTAGCAAAAATCAGTTATTAATGACACGTCATCCTTCTACTGCAGAGTCTATGATTTGGCTCTATCACAAGCGTCTGGGGCATCCACCATTTAGTCTTTTGAAGTCTATGTTCCCTTCTCTGTTTCTCAATAAGTCGGTTGAGACCTTTCATTGTGATGTTTGTGAATTTGCAAAACACCATAGAGTGTCATTTCCTTCTAGCACTATTAAAAGCAGGGAACCTTTTTCTCTTATCCATTCTGATGTTTGGGGCCCTTCTAAAGTGCACAGTGTTTCAGGTGCAAGGTGGTTTGTTTCTTTTATCGATGATTGTACTCGGGTAACAAGGATATACTTGATGAAAGACAAGTCTGAAGTACCAGAGATATTTATTCGGTTTCATCACATGGTTGAGACTCAGTTTGGTAAGGGTATTAAAAGACTAAGATCTGATAATGGTACTAAGTACGTCAATCAACGCCTGTCACAATTCATTTCAGACAGAGGTATGATTCATGAGCTCACATGTGTTGATACCCCTCAACAAAACGGGGTTGCTGAAAGGAAAAATCGTCACCTCCTTGAAGTTGCTAGAGCTCTACTTTTCCAGACATCTTGTTCCTAGTTCTTATTGGGGAGAAGCAGTGTTAGCTGCTATTTTTTTGATCAACCGTTTACCTTCACGGATCCTTAACAATATCAGTCCTATTCATTCCATGACTTCCTTCTTTCCTTCTGTTCCCATATTGCAAAGCCTTCCACCAAGAGTGTTCGGATGTGTTGCTTTTGTCCATGTTCATAAACAACATCGGAGTAAGTTGGATCCTAGGGCTCTTAAGTGTGTCTTCCTTGGTTATACCCCTTATAAAAAAGGGTACAAATGTTATCATCTATCAAGTCAAATTTTTTTTGTTTCTATGGATGTCACCTTTCAAGAATCTGAATCTTATTTCCTGGGTCTTCATCGTCAGGGGGAGAACAGTTCTTCAGAAGACTCGTCCCCTTCCTTCTTTGAGTCTGGATCAATCTTCTCTCTTCCTAGTGTGTCTGCTCCTGGTGTGTCAGAACCTTCAAATACACCTGAGATACGGAAAATTTTGACACCTGAATTGGTATATCAGCGGAGGAAACAACCCATACTGTCTCACCAGCAACCTCAATCGTCTGAACCACTGGTAAGTCCTGAATCTCCTATTTCTTCTGAGTCACTTGAATCTCCTGTTTCTGATTCTAATATTATTTCCTCTCATGATTTGTCTATTTCTTCTGATATCTCTAATGACTTACCCATTGCTTCTGCTTCTGATGACTTACCTATTGCTCTTAGAAAAGGAAAAAGATCTTGTCACAAGAAAACTTGTTCCTCCTGTCCCTCTTGTACTCAATACCCTATCTCCCACTTTGTTTCCTCTGCTAATCTTTCTGTGCAGCACAAAAGCTTTGTTTCAGTACTAGATTCTATTGCAATCCCAAAATCAGTACATGAAGCCTTGAAAGATAGGAATTGGGCTCAAGCCATGCAAGAGGAGATGAATGCGTTGGAGAAAAATAAAACATGGGAGGTTATTGATAGACCCAACAGAAAGAAAGCAGTAGGGTGCAGATGGGTTTATGCCCTGAAATATAATTCTGATGACACTCTTGAGAGATACAAGACTCGATTAGTGGCCAAAGGTTACACTCAAACCTATGACATTGATTATGAAGAAACCTTTGCTCCAGTTGCAAAGATGAATACAATGAGAATCTTGTTATCCCTTGCTGCCCATTACAATTGGGATATAAATCAATTTGATGTGAAAAATGCTTTCCTCAATGGTGAGTTAGAAGAAGTAGTCTACATAGAAATCCCGCCTGTTTTTGATTCTGTGAAGGGGGAAAATAAAGTTTGTAGATTAAAAAAAGGCCTTGTATGGATTGAAACAGTCACCTCGTGCTTGGTTTGGAAGGTTTACTAAGGTTATGATGACCTTATGATACAGACAGAGTCAAGGAGATCACACTCTTTTCTTCAAGCACTCCCAAAATGGGAAGCTTACTGTGCTCCTTGTATATGTTCATGATATTATTATCACAGGTGATGATTTTGTGGAGAGACAGATTCTGCAAACACGGCTTGCCTCTGAGTTTGAAGTCAAAGACCTTGGGAAACTGAGATATTTCCTAGGGATAGAAGTAGCTCATTCAAGCAAAGGAATTTTTATCAGCCAGAGGAAATATGTTCTTGATCTTCTCAAAGAAGCAGGAAAGCTCGTGTGTAAACCCTCTAATACTCCTATTGAGCAGAATCACAAGATGGGCTATGAAGAAGAGAATCCTCCAGTTAAAGGACAATATCAACGGCTAGTTGGGAAATTGATATATCTGGCCCAGACTAGACCAGACCTAGCTTATGCTGTTAGTGTTGTCAGTCAGTTTATGCACGATCCAAAGGAAAAACACATGCAGGCAGTAGAGAGAATTCTTCAATATCTTAAAGGTACTCCTGGTAAAGGATTGTTATTCCGACGTGATGGCAATCTATCTTTAGAAGTCTACACAGATGCTGATTATGCTGGATCCGTGACTGACCGTCGTTCTACCATTGGTTATTGCATGTTTCTTTGCGGTAACTTGGTGACATGGAGAAGTAAGAAACAAGATGTGGTTGCCAGATCAAGTGCATAAGCTGAATTTCGAGCTATGGCTCAAGGCATTTGTGAGTTACTGTGGCTGAAAATTGTACTTGATGATCTCAAAATAAAATGTGAGGGACCTATGAAGCTGCTATGTGATAATAAGTCCGCTATTTGTATAGCTCATAATCCAGTTCAACATGATCGGACTAAACATATTGAGGTCGACCGCCATTTCATCAAAGAGAAACTTGATAGTGGGTTGATTACCACTCCATACATTCCCACTGGGCGTCAATTAGCTGATCTATTAACAAAGGGGCTTCCTTCAGACAGATTTCAAGAACTTACTAGCAAGTTGGGAATGATAAATATCTATTCCTCAGCTTGAGGGGGAGTGTTGTAAATATTATTATTTATTTATTTGTTATTTGTTATATTGGGCTTAGCCCATTAGGTCTAGTATTCTAGAGAACCCTTTTGTACATATAATTTACAATTCTATAATATTTTAGAATACCCTTTTTCAAGTATTTTCTATTAAAAACTTTAAACTTAAAGTTTCTGAATTCCAAAATAGAATTTGACACAAAAAAAAAAGGACAGAAATGGGCTTCCAATCAAGAATATCATCAATTATCAAAGCTTCTGTTATGAACAAGCTTGTTAACAAAATATGATTATGAACAAAAAAGAAAGGTTGTCAACAAAGTAAACAGAGAAGAAAAGAATAGGTTGTTAAACAAAGCAGAATGGGTGCCTGTTAAGAGATGAGAGAGTACACTGAGAGCCAGAGACGAGAGACGCGCGACAGATAGAGTGGAGAGCGAGAGAGTGGGTTGAGGGTTTCATATTAAAACCCAGTTAAAAGACTGTAAAGCCCATGAAAAATAGCTGTTAAAAATTCAAAACGAGGGCAAACTAGGAATTCAACATCGTTTCCTGACGTGATGCGCTGTGATTTGGCTGCAACAGCCGCTACACTTACCTGTTGCATTGCGGCATGGCCTATAGTGCCAATTGTCCGCAACCCGCTACCTTAGCGGGATTGTGCGCAATTGATAACCCAGACAGTTTCTGGTTCATTTTGTTTTAGAACGAATTTTTCGAAAAATGATTCAATTGTGTCATCCACATAGCATGATCATTAGCCTATTGCCCTAAAGAAGTTTCTAAGTTCTTGTGGAAATAATCAAGATCCAAATCATTGTAATATCATGTTATGGAGAACTATGGGCAACACTTGTTCTGAACTCAACATAATTTCGTTATGGGAAATATTATATTTTAAATTTGAATGAATAGAACTACAGGGAACTGAAAAGGAAAAAGCCACTAAGATTTAGTATTCTGTATTCTATTACAACAATAACAAAAAATTATGCCTTATCCCACTGGGTGGGGTTGCTTACATGGATCAAACGACTACATATGATTAAATATTATTTGTTTGTCTAATGTCGTCTCGTTTAATGTCTCTTAGGTACTGGAAGATGTCACTTTTGGTTCATCCAGATAAATGCTCTCATCCACAAGCCAACCAAGCATTTATTAAGCTAAATAAAGCTTTCAAAGAGTTACAAGATCCAGAAAAGGTAAGCCTGCTAGGAGAATGGTTTATTATTGAAGTTAAAGGTGCTGTTTGTGGGATCCTCTAATTTGCTTGATGGTCTTTCTTTTTGTGTTAATAGACTTAATTAATTGCTTTATCTACACCTTTGATTTTTATTTTTTCGGTTGATTGTTATCACTTGAAAGAGTTGAGGTAATTTGTATTTTTAACCGATACAGAAAAATAGAATGCAAAGCCCTCTCTTATAGAAGAGATATGTTGTGAATCAGGGAGGTAGGTATCTGCTCTGCATGCTTAAAAAATTGGAAGTACATTTTATCATTATTTACAAACATGTACATTTATCCTATCCAAAGTCCTGTTATCTATTACTTTAGAATTTGAAATCACTTTTGACTCTTGAAACACTCCCCTCAAGCTGGCTTGAAATTTTCTTCCATGGAAAGCTTGCTGACTAACCCGTTGAAAAATTCTTCTTGGACTATCCCTTTGTACAACAAAATCAAATGCTTCTTTCTGATACTGGGGAGCTGGTCAGAGAAGAGTGTACCAGGGATCAGTGACTTCTCAAATGATATTTGATATTTTTGACTTTCTGTATGCAATAATAATTTATGGGCTGATAATGATTTGAAAAGAATTCATTAAAATTGGACTGCTTTAGATGTTTGGCTATTTAACTATTTTATTTAAATTTTAAAATAGATTTTGATTTGAGTTTAGGTGCTTACCTATGATTTGAGTGAACGAATTTCCTCTAGTATATCCATATCCCATTCCAGCACTAGGAAAGGAATATATTTATTTACATGTAAAATTGATTATGATGAACTCTTTTATTTTAGGATCCTATATTTGTCAAATCGTTGAGTGTTTTGAACATTCATATGCAAAGCAGAAATGTGGTTGAAGGAACTTGACTAATTAGTAATTTTGTGTAATGTGTAGCGGAAATCATTTAAAAACAGTTTTGGCAATTTCTTGCACTTGACCCACGTTGTTACTTCCATTCATTTGTAATGTTGCTAATAGTCATCTGTGGCAGATTACATCTTGCAAAGCAAAGCCCACGATGTGAGGGGAATAAGTGCTTTTTACATGAAACTTGGAAGTTATATACATCTGGATGTTGGGCTTATAAATTTATTTCTCTTATGTTTTCCTTTACATTATCTTTTCCCTAAAAAATTTCTCCAATTTAGAATGCTGTTTTGTTTTCGCATCTCTGTTTTTTTATTCCCCAAAGATTTTTTGTTCTCGTGTTTGACATATAATTGATTGGATACTTTGTTCTATTCCTGGTTTTTGTGCAATGCAATATTTTTGAAATTTTTATTAACAAGATGATGTTGTGTGCTTTCTGTAGCGGAAAGAAATGGATGAGAAAATCAAACTCAAGCAAGAACAGGAGGAATTGAAGGTAACTTGAACTTGTCTGGCTGACTGGCTGTATTATTAGTTTTTGGATCCTAATATCTTCACATGTAACTGCAGGCTGAACTTAAAGCAATGCGTGAGGCTGCCCTGTGGAGAAGATCCCAAGGTGAGCTTCTGCAATGTAGATAGATGGTTTCTGTCAAGTCTGTTCAGATCACTTTCATGCATAACATACTTAATATAACGATGAGTGCTATGAAGGTAGCCAGGTAGGGGAAAAAATTGGAGTAAGGATGGGAAAACCAAAAGGGCTGTGTTATGTTAAGAAACTCCTAGCCCCATCCCCCACATAAAACAGAAAACACACTTTTGGGGGGGCGGGGGTTGGAGGAAAATGAAGCAAGAGCAAGTGTGCATTGTGTTAGAAGATATTATCCTTGAGGCTTAATGGTGGGAATTACTTTTGTTGACATTCATAAAGCACATTACAATTTCAATGTTATCTAAAGAATAATGTATTTGATCACCAAAAAAAATAGCAATATTTGGTTTGGACATTTAGAGGTAATGTGTAAACTAAAATAGAGAATTTTGCTGTATGTTTCAAGTCATACCTCGTATTGTCTTACATCATGTTTAGACTTTTATTAGAAGCCTTTTTATATTCCTAATTTCTTCTTAATTATGATGATCTAGCCTATGGAAGAAGGTACTTCACTATTATATGTCAATAAACCAACACAAAGTGTTAATGCCTCATAATTTGGTGATACTGTGCTTAAATTGTGCAATTTGGGATGATTTTATTGCCATGCAATTTGGCTTCTTGCTGGTCCTGTGTAACTGTCTCGTGACCATTTGAGGTTGGAAAATTGGTCTGGCACGAACATACATGTCCCTCTTGGATTCAATTGGGCATCATTTTCCCCTAATATAAAATTCAATTCTACTTTTCTTTCTTAAAAGGGGAAGGGCGGGGATTGGGTGCTATTACTTGTGAACTTTGTTATCTTATTGCTAGGAAATCTGTGGCAGGCATATCCATGGAGGGTGATGATGTGCTTCTGGCAGAGACAGAGGTTAAAGAGGAACCAAAAAGAGATGAATGGATGACAACATTGCCTCCAGAGAGGAAAGTAAGTTCTGACAATCATTTGATTTTGTTTGGCTTTTGGGTAAAAGGTATGTAAGTGCTTTAGGACTCAAGAAGATTTTTATATTATTTTTATCAATATAAACGTAACCTTTATTTTTTATAAAATAAATAAATTTGGTTGTTATTGAATATATACGAATTTGTTTAATATTTTTATAGTCATTTAACACATAAAACATATGCAATCATTTTTATTTAATTTACTTATGTATGACTTTATTTATTAAATATATTCATTACTTTTTAATTATTAAATTATATATTAAAATTTGTTAAATATTTATAATATAAATTTATTTATTAAATAAAAAATTAAAAGGGAAAAATGAAACAGCTATTAAATATTTAGAAAATGAATTTTAAATAAAAAAATTGAATACATTAGACATAAATTGATTTTTATTTTTCATAATTTATTTAAATAAATCATATTTTTTGTATTTTGTAAATTTTCTTGAATTTGTGTAACAAAAGATTCTTATGAATTTTTTATGTATACAAATTTTTTTAATTTTATGATATAATTACTTTTTTTACCTTTTCTCTTTTTTATTTAAAAAATAGTCAAATTCTCTCCCATCATTAAAATATGTTTTAGTTTTTTTTCTTCATCAAATTTGATATTAATTTACTAAAATACCCTTAAGATTAATGCCACGTTTGGTGATAGCTTTTTTGGAGAAAATAAATGTGTTTTTCTTTTTTTTCAAAAGCTCTGTCATGAAGCTGCAAATGAAAAAAAAGTTGTCCCTAAAATAAGCTAATTTAACAACACACTAAGTGATTTTATAAAGAAAGATTTTGTTTTTCTGTTTTTGGTAGATATCGACTAATGGCCGAAGTTTTAATAGACCCGACTAATCCAATTTTGGGTTTGTGCCTTTTCACTTTCCCTAGGAATTGACTCTCAGAATTCGAAAAAGATTTTGGTCTTTTTGTCCAAAACAAAATGTGGAGGTTGTGTGTGTGTGTATATATATTGGAACAGTGGCCTAAATACCACGTTTTTCATCAAAATTTACCCAACTGCCACGCGAACAGTAAAATTTTTCAAAGTGCCATGCGTACAAGTTCGCTGCAGCAGGTACCGAACTTCGTTTGCTGATGTGGCATCTTTTTGGTACCTAGTTCGCTACTGAAAGTAGCGAATTATATGGTCAAAAATGTCAGTCTGCTCTGAGCCTTTTTGAGACACGTGGCAAATATAGAAAAGTTCACTATAGGACATAATGAACTATGTGCAATTGTCAGAAAAAAAAATAGTCGTTCACATGGACAAGTTCGCTGCATTATGCAGCGAACTACATGCAAGCTGTCATGTTGCTTTTCAACTGTACGGTGTGGTTCAGTTGCTGAGGAGAAAGGAGGCCCCTATATCTTCCAGCACTTCAGTTTCTTTGTTTGGAGAGAGGTAGAAAAAACAAAAAGATGGAAGGAAAAAGTGAGGATGATTACGTTAAAACAAAAAAAAAAGAGAGAAAATAAAAATAGATGGTGAAGTGTTAGTGTGTCTGTGGTATTTTTTTTTTTTGGAAGGAGAAAGAAGTCTGGTGACTGTTTTGAAGGTTATGGAGGAGACAAAGGAGTGAGTGGAGGCATGATCACAATGAGTAAAAGCTGGAATTTTTTTGTTTTTTTGAAATACTAAAAGCTGGACTTTTGAAAAGAAAGAGAGAGAAAGTGTAAGGAAGGAAACGACTTTTGGCAACTGAAATTACAAAAATTACTGTTACCAATAAAGAATAGACACAAAGGAAAGAAAGAATGTGCGTGGGGAACCAGCTTTCATTACACCAAGTTCGCTAGATTGTATAGCGAACTTGGGTAAAATTGCCACGGTGTTCTGTTTTTATTCAAAGCAGATTGCCATTTTTATTATACCAAGTTCACTAGACTGTATAACGAACTTGGGAGAGACTGCTATGTGTCCTGAAAATAGTCTGAATAGACCGACATTTTGACCACGTAGTTCGCTACTACCAATAGCGAACTAGGTGGCCCATCAGAAACGTGCCACGTCTGCAAATGAGTTCGCTACCTGCTGTTGTGAACTTGTACGCGTGGCATTTTGAGAAATTTTACTGTTCGCGTGATAGTTGGATAAATTTTTGTGGGAAACGTGGTTTTTGGATCACTGTTCCATATATATTTAGGCAGAGTCATTTTTTTTTATTGTAAATATTTTGGTTAAAAGAGTGCGGGAAACAGACTTGGTTTCTAGATGTATGCTTTTGCTACTTGCAATGATGCAAAATGTTACTAGAGTATGGTTGCTTAGAAAACTCATTTACACAATGATTCTCTTTTTTGTTATCTTTTTAGTTGTTTGTCCTGCGCTCAGCACTGTGTCAGTTTAGTAGTCCTAAAATCTTAATGCAAGTATACCTGAGTTGTGTAAGCTTTTTATTACAAAGTTGAACATTTCCTATCCGTTAAGGTTTTTGAGACTCAACAATTTTTGTTGCACATTGTTTTGCATTTGAGTTTGATGCGCAGTCCCTTATTTTATTCGCCAAAAGTGGGAAAACATTAACACTAGTACAGAGTAGCAGACATTGCAGTCAATTTACATTATGGGAATCCGAAATAATACTATGTTGTTATTTTGCTAAATGATGCCCACATATTTCATGAATTTATACATTTCAGCCTGGTGTGACTATGCAATCAACCAAGTTTAGCCGGGGCTCAAAGGAAGGTAGAGGTGATACTGGTGTTTGGACAGACACCCCTGCAGACAGAGCCCAGAAAGCAAAGATGCAGTATGTATCCTCTTTCATTCTAGAATGCTTTGGCTTATCAATTTTTCTTCCCTTCAACCTGTGTAGTCCACCCCACGAGTTCAAGGGCTTTATGGCAACACTGATTTGTACATGGCAGTTATTTGGAAGCATACAATGAGGCTACTGCACTTGCCTCGAATGAAGAGGAAAAGAAAAGGACTAGTGCGGATGCAGATTTGGTGGACAAATACAATAATGCAAAACGATCAAAAACATTGGTGCAAAAGCATCAAGAAGAGGTTGCTAGCAAATCCAAGAAAAAGTCCAAGCAACAATCGGAGAAGGAAGATTGGGTGGGTCAACATCCATGGAAGCCATGGGACCGTGAAAAGGACCTGACAGCTGGGAGGCAAAGTGTAAAATTGGATTCAGAAAGCATGTCTGAGGGCTTATCTTCAAGGTTTTCTTCTGGAAACTTTCAGAGGAACTTCCTTTGATTTGATTAAGAGTTGACATTTCATCTGTTTAGCCCTTTCGCCTGGACAAGATCTGTTCAATGAGCTTCATAAAGAAATTGAATCATTCTTTTTCTTGATGGTCAGTTTTGTCATTCTTATTTATTTTGTTTTGATTTTCTTTTCTTGATTAACTCTTTCGTAGTCTAACCGGGTCCCATTTCTATACATGCTTGCAGTAGCCTGTAGGTGCTGAATACAATCATGTGCTTCAAATGCTACGGAGATTTCTAATTATGCAATTGCGCTCAGTGACGGGCAAATATTTTCTGATGAAGTTTATGCAATAAATGGCCTGATTTTAGTTGTCATAAATTTTACAGGTGTATATCTATCAAGCATGTTTATCTGTAGTATTTATGTTTGTTGCACGTGGTTATAGCTAGTAAAATAGTGGAGATAGTGGTTAATATAGTACGGCATCTGCAGTAAAAGTTTACATATAATAGCAAATGTATGAAGGTTCTAATTAAGTTCTTGTTTGTTACAAAATGTCACTTCTAAGATAGTGCTGTCACAGTTGTATTAATTGGCGTATCTGACTAGTAAGTTTAAGTGGCTCTACTCCTATGCTGCTGATATTATTATTATTATTATTTATTTTTTATTTTTTACAAACTTTGCATAAATTGCTGATGGGGCTGCATTTGAAATATAGACAAAGTCCAAGTCTCTCAGAGAATTGAAATTAATCTAACACAGAAGAATGAGAGCGGTAAACATCAAACTCTTAATTACGTTGTTATCATGTTTTCTACTTTTTAAATTATAGGTAGCATAGAACATTATGCCTATCTTTTTTATTGTATGTTTTATTTATTTCTCTCTAACACCATTTGATCATAATCAAGAGGAGAGAAAAAAAAATGAAGGTCAATTGAAATTTTGATTTAATTATATTGGAGAGAATAGGTAAAGTAGATATAAAAAAAAAAAGTAGTTATAATATTCTATCTTTGGGTATAAATATAATTAGGCGCAGGGTTGAGAATTGTGTATATCTAAAGGTCACGTTTGCAGTTTTACGCAGTCTATAAAGCCTGTATAATGTCACCCTTTTCAATTAATTTTTTTTTTATTGGAAAGTTTTGTGTATGCTCTTATTTATGACTATGTAGTGGATGTGTTATAAAAGGGCATCAACAACTCAACTGAAACATGAATACTAAATTTGAAATATTATTTGAGGTTGTGCAACAATCTTCTTGTAATATTAAAATACCCGATGCTGCACTTGTGATCAAAATAGCAAGTATCGCTTGCATGTCATATAAGCATTTTTGAATTTAGGTGAAATTTAAAAATATAAATTAAAAGAAAAACTTTAATAAAAAGTATTTAAATGTATAAATAAGATATATAATTAATTCAGGTAGAATTTGAAAATATTTAAAATTATAAACAGATATATATTATACACAAGAATTTGCATTTAAAATTTAAAAGAGACATAAATTAAGAATTACATGCGTCATTCTTAAAAATAAAAAGTAAATTGTGCGATTAACTCATTTTTAAAAAATTATATGTTTTACTAGATACCAGTAGAAATTAGCAGAATTATTAATGAGGAGAGACGGGGCATACCCGGACCAAACGGGTTATCTTACTAATAATTGTTATCTTAGTATACTGAAGTATTATTTAATTTTGGAATTAAATTCTCTGTTTCTTTGTTTTTTTTTTTTTTTTTTTTTAATACAAGAGGAGGGGCTAGGCCCCAAAAAAAGAGATTAAACAAAAGCAACAGGATCTAGGATCCTTCTAACATCTTGAAGCAGAAGGTGCTGCAAGTCTTGAGGTGGCTCCATGAAAATCGTAGTTCCATAATTTATGCTTGATGTTTTCTGGGCTAATAAGTGAGCGCAAGCAATGGTTATTGTTTCTGGAAGTATGGCTCATCATAATAATCCAGTCCTTAAGCCAGTCTTTCTTTGTTTTAGGTTTCATCCAATAATCTTCTCTATGGCCGATTCAAACAGGTTTCTCAACTTTTGAAGGGTTTAATACTTCTGCTTTTATTGTAGGAAATTTTTCTCTGTTACATTTACATAAAAAATAAGTGAGTTCACATATATTTCTCTCTCTTTTTTATCAAGGGACCAACTCACTTTTATGTGAGAAAGACAAAAAAAAAATTTACAATACAAAGAAAAATATTTTTCCCATTTTTAAAATTGTCTATTATACAGATTCAGACAACACACAAAATTAAGTTGGAAAAGTGTAAGATAAATTAAGGCTTTAATGTTTCTACAGTGAATATAGATAAATTATCTACATTTGCTTTCAAAATGACATCATTTTGGATTGAAAAATTAAAAAATTATAATGAAAAAGACTGTTATAACTTTGAAAAAAATTATAATTATTAAAATACTTTGATTTTCACTTCAAAACGACTTCGTTTTGGACTCAATGTAAATAAGTTAAGTTATCTACATTGATTGTAGAAAAAGCGAATCCATTTAATCATATAAATTCAACTTATTTTATAATTAATTTTAATTCAAACTTGTTCTAATTAGAATTTATTTTAAACTAATTTTTATATAATATATTTAAATTTAAAAAATTTAACATGCTTATCAATCATTAGATGAATAAACGATTCTTATAATTATATCTTATTCAACAATCACTCTTAAATTTAATTAAAGCAGAGATAAATAGAAAATGAGAGGGAAGAGAGAGTATTAAATTTTTTTTGAAAAAAAACAATTTCATCTCAAAATTAACTTCTATGGAACTATTTTAAAAAAATGTAAATAACTCCATTATACTAATTAATTTTTAGAAGTTTCCAAATACCGTCTATGTATATATATTTTGCTTTTAACATGTCACCAAATGAAAGTTATTAATGTTCCTTGGTGGCCATGGGATGTAAATGAGTTAGAGGGCCTATCAAGGACCTACAACAATTTGGCTACCTTAGGCCTGATCATCTATTTAGTAAATAGAACAGGTTTAGATTTTTAGAGAAAACCTGTTTAAAAATTAGGCAGACCCATTTTAAAAAGGCTACAGGTTGGCCTATTAATTATTTTAATAAAATAATATATTTATAATATATGTTGTGAACTTGAAATATAGAATTTTATCAAAGATGATAAGAGATATACTAGTTATTCCAATCTCTAGAGTTGCATCTGAGTCCACATTTAATGCTGGTGGAAAAGCAATTGATGGTTATCATGTTAGTTTATTTGAAGAGACCATTCAAGCATTAATTTGTGAAGGAGATTGGCTAAAAATAATAATAATAATTTGAAGAAAAAACAAAAGGTATAAATTTAGATAAATGAAATTGTTTTACAATTTGAAAATACGATGATATTCAACTTAATTTATTTCTTATTTAGGATAAGCTGGTATGACATCATATCAAATCGCCCGTATGAAAGTGTTTTACTTGATCCCAAGCATGCTAAAAGTTACCAATGGAGGGTTGCATATTTCTTCTTAGTTGCATTTTTTTCCACTTGATTTTCACTCATATTTCTCACTATGTATTGCTGTTAATTTTTTCTTAGTTCTTTTTTTCAGGTTTTTTTATGGTGTCATAAACAGTGAAGCCTTCTTTATTTGATTGTAATTTTTATTATATATTATGACTTTGTACATAGACTTGCTGGTACTACAGGCAGATAAGCATGTTGATTTGTCACATCCCCATCTGATTATTGATTGATTTTGCTGGAATTATTGTTTTTTTTTTCTGTTTAATTATATGAATTTAAATTTGGCTTTTGAGATGATAACCTTTTGGATTATGGCTTTTAAACAAACAATAGAGCTGTTATTTGTTATACCTTGTACATTAAAATTTTATACGACTTCATATGTGCATTTGAAAATTTCTTTCTTAGAACCGATGCTACTTCACCTTAAAAGTAATTTAACATTTATCTTGTATGATTGATCATTATTTTTTTAGGAAGAGTTGTTATTTTTATTTGGAATAGATAAAATTTTATTTCTTGGAATAACTATTATTTTTCTTTCTTTTGGTTGATTTTATTTTTTAGGAATATAATATTTCAGCAACGTAAGATATCAAAGTGATCAATCAAACGAGGATTCATGTGTTGTTATGAATATTATTTAAGGATTTTTTTGATTTTGTTAAAAATAAGATTTGGTAAATTTTATAGGGGGAACTCAAGCTAGAAACACAGTTTAATTAATGAGAATTTTGATTTTTATTTATTTAGTTTGATTTTGTAACTTGAAAGGCCAAGAAGGCTTTTTAATCCATATTAGATTTTTTAATTTTTTATAATAGGTCAGGCCAGATTTATAAACCAAACTTTTAATAGACTAATAGGTCAGTATAGACTCTAAATTTTTTAAACACTTGAGATATTAAGGCATGAGCCATTTACACCTCTATAACGGTGGTCATAGGACAACCCAAAATGAAAATAATATTTGTCGTTATTATAAAATAAAATATATAGCTAGCTATAGGAACAATAACAGACAAAAGTAATAATCCACACAAGTAATCATCAATTCATCTATGACACATATTGTAAGGAGAAATTTGAAAAGGGAGACAAACTTGGGTTGCGACGCAAGGCATGTCATTATCAAACTTGGTTTAAGCTCAAAATTTTCTCTCTAGAAGGTTTGCTATGAAAAAAAAAAATCATGTATTGTAATAAATAAATAAAAAAACACAAAGATAATCCATATATGGATATATAATGAGGAGGGTTGAAAATGAAAGCTTATAAATACATTTAATCTATGTGGGACTCAGCAGCCCCAACCTCCTGCAGTCCCACAAACCGCCCCAAATATGCCCCTACTTGCTTGATTTGCACTATTTCTGTGTTTGATGAAGCAACCCCACCACCCCCCTTATCAATATGATGAGAATTGCATTGTAATATTGTAGGGTCCATCACCCCCTCCCAATTCACCTTCCAATAGTTTCTTTTCTGCGGCTGCTTTCCTAACAATCTATTGGTTATCCATTCCCTCTCTTCAGCTTCAATGAAAGAGACCTCAATTAGTTCTCTACAAGGATTTTGGTTCCCCACTACTACTTTAAAACAATAAAATAAGGTAAAGAGAAAGATTCTCCTTGTTCAGTTTAAAAGGACATAAGAAAAAAGTATTAGCTACTTAGGTTTGTGTTTTGTCTTTTACTAACTTGAAATATGCTGTAAATATGTTGCTCTATTTTGAGGGTCACACAAAGTCTTAATTTTTTTTCAAATTCTTCGTATTTCAATCATACAAAAGTTGACAAGCAACAACAGCAAGCTTATCTACTTGATGTTAAGAATCAATGACATTTTATGCCAGTGCTGATTAATGCTAATTCCATATTATAGATGTATAATCATACCAAGCATCATTGGCAAAATGATATTTTTACCGGAAATAAGCAATGCCAAGCATTGAATAAAGTCAAATTGAATTGCAAGTTCCTATTAAGACCACTCTGGTGGCATATCACTGGACACTAGGTGCCGTCCGTTCACCATTGACACAAGTTGGTTACCGGCCATGATAGTGACAAATTGATGATCAATCTCACTTACTACAGATTTT